CCACTAGAGACAACAGAATATCCATTTCATGCTACTTTTTACGCATCGCTTCTAGCTCGAAGGCGGAGTCACTGGAGAAAAGGGTGTCACTGGAGCAACTTTGCGCCTTAACTCATTTACCCTGCAACTTTCAGCCGCAAAACTAGCGCGAGGTTTTCGATTGCGGACCACATTCCCCTTCCCACACAATCTTTTGCATCTTCATAGGTCACCGCGGACCGTTCCTTTGATATGGCAATTTTCAAACATTGCGATGTGACGTGCGTCGACGCGCTACCATGGCGGTGGCGCTCCAGCGCTACCGAAAGGAATAGAGATGTAGACGGGTATCGATCGGCGCCGACCGCTAGTGTTCTGGGAGAGTATAATAGAGCAGAAAAGTACCAGACCAGACCTACAGCGAGCTCTAATTTGAAGAACAAAAAATTTGCACCCCATCATCATTTCCAACACGTAAAAAACAGTCCGTTGTTATTCAGGCCTTGTGGAGGCTTCGATCGACGTTTGATGAAGTGCTCGTGTACAAGAACTCATTTTTGATCCGATTTCCGTTCCTTGAAAAAGTCGTCCACGTCGAGGTTGGCAGCCAAGTTTTGGACGCATGTGCCACCCATAACTTCCTGACAATTATTACCGAGGAACACATCTATATCGTGCGCAAGGACCAGATTGAGGTAGGTACTGGATAAAAGAGCGCAGTTCGGCTTGGTGGGGGCATCGAATGGTACTGGGCTGAGCTTATATAGTTCACTCTGTGAAACCCAGTGACCAAGTGCCTTACTCGCTCATATTCACAGCTCCACAGGAGTTCATAGGTTTGACTAAACTGGGACCTGTAGTTAGCAATGAATCAACCAAAGGAATCAGCGATAGTGCGAAATGCCCTGTTCAAGCCGAGCTGCGCCGATAAAAGTACCCCAAACTGGGGATTTCCTCACCTTTTGATTCTTATGCTATCTTTTGTTCAGATTCCTCAGCGCTGTTCATACGAAAAAGGTGCTATTCCCATATTAGAATTCGAACCTGCATCATGGGTTTCAGTGAAGTCAGAATCTTGCCTCAACGACTATTAAAGATCGTTGGTGGACGAGGAGGAAACCCTCTTCGGACATGTTTCTTACATCGACGATTTCTACAGTATATCTGGTGTATACTGTGGATGGTACGAGTACGGTAGTGAGGTTAGTGTCAAAGGTTTGGTGTGGTCTATTAGGGTTCGGTTTACATCTCCTGACACTTTCTGTACGCCTACGGGGTAGGAGATGGGGACGCTAGGACTTCGATCCTTTTAGGGCTAAGAGAAGGTGGAGGAAGAAAGAGTCCACTGTCTCCTTTAGATAGCGCATACTATGTTTCAAAGTGCGTTCATACTTCGCGATACCATCGCTTGGATTGCGCAGTCTGAACGTTTGAGCGATCTGATCGCGCGATACAAACGCTAAAGCGATCCGATCGCGCGATCCAAGCGATCGGATCACGAATCGTATGAACGCGCTCTGATAGCGAAACAAACTTTCTCGCCGCGCTCATAGTTTGCGACCAGGAAGATTAGCCTTCTGTGCGAACTTTGGGAAATTCATGTTCCAGCCGAGGTTAGTATAGGCATCAATCGACGACTAAAGCGTCGATTCGTTCAGAATGCCGATTTTCCCAGAACGCCAATCCGCTCAATTCCATGATAATTGCCCAGAGCGCCGAGTCACAAAGTATGAACGACGCCTTGCAGTTTTGCACCGCAGCGTGCTCCAATCTCCAACTGCGATAATGCTTGAACAGGATTTTCCTTAAAATAGATGCTCGTAAAAGTTTTCCGGGAATCTTATTCAGTTTCAGGCTTTTTAATGAATACACCTATTTGGAAAGCGGTATTGTCAAGCCGAGTGTTGTCCAAATTCCTGACGATTTGAGGATTGTTGCGGTGAGCGGTTTTCGAGTGAGTGCTTCAGAACTATTAGACAGCCAAAACTGTTTTCAGGCTGCTTCAGGGAACGATCATAGTCTCTTCCTAACGGATAAAGGAGCTGTGTACGCTCTAGGAACTGGAAGGTTCATTTCATATACGATTTTAGCCTCTAAACTATGAAGACTTTGGTGGAAGGAGGGGGGGGCAAGGGGAGGGAGGGGTGTGGTAAGTGGCGCCCCTGCTACATGCAGGGTATGGGAGGGGGTCAGCTGTCGAGCCTTCACCTAGCTGACCGGCCCTTATATGCCTTGGGTTGGTTAGTTGTCGCTAGACTTCTCCCTGAAGGTAAAACACTGGGTTGTACGCACCTACAAGTCAGTGAGTAGGCCAAATCACACCCAAAATGCTACTGAATGGAAGCGGAAGGTGGCACTTTCCAAAAATTGACTAATAGACGCGGAGAAATTTTCTCTACCTTCTATTGAACTATAATGGTGTTGAATTACAGTCACATTTTCAGCCGAGGTGAACTAGGAAACGGTCTGATCCCACGAGTCTGTGAACTGACATGGATAGAAGCGCTCGAAGGTGTGAAAGTGGTGGATATTGTGGCCGCCGGCTGGCACAGCGGTGCACTGACAGGTAGGTTTTCCTAAAGCGGTCCTGGTGCGAATGCGCGCGCGTGATGCCGTACCAAACACTTAGGCAGCGTTCAAACTTCGCGACGGCATCGATCGCGTCAAACGCGCGACCGAAGCGCGCCGTAGCGAAGTCTGAACGCGGCCTTACGTCGTCGTCGCCACAGCTGCGACTTC